ATTTTATTATTATTGTCTTTTTTTTTTTTTATTACCGGGGCGTTAACGTCTTTGTTGGTCGTCTGTCTCGGGCATTTCATACATTTATTTATATATATATATATATATATAATTGTGTTTCTTTCGTATAGAAATAACACACACATTATATTTTCAAGTTTTGTCGGGCGGGTTATTACTTGATGAAGTGATGTTGTTTGTGTGTAATGTAAATAATATTGCGTGCCTTTCGGCTGTTGGCCGATTGGATAGCTCGCTGGAAGCGATCCAGTCATATTCTCAGCTGATGTCATCGTTCGTAATTGAAATTTTGTTGCTTTTTTTTTTTGTTTTGTTTTTTTTTTTTTTTTTGTTTCTTCGCACATTATTATCCATTTATTTGCGGGTGTCCGTACGAACGCAACCCGCCTCTTTAAGTCTTATTAAATATTGTATTTATTTATTTTTCAATATACTTGTTTCTCTGGGCATACTTAAGAAGCAGCATGATATTCGTGTTTATGTGAGTTTGAATGTATGTGAATTGTTTTTCAATTATCAAAAAAAAAAAGCTTACGAAGAAGAAGAATCTAGTAAATGAATCAGCCCAACCTAAAAAGTCTTGTTTTGTTTTTTTTTGTTTTTTTAGTAATACTTCGTTTAAAATAAAAGTTTCGCAAATACTTGTTCCATAAATTTTTAATTCCGTAAATGGATAGGCGCACGGAATCAAGTACATACCCTACAACTATTATTGGCATAAAGTATATAAAGTTTGTGAAGATGTATGTGTGTAATACTCAGAAGAGCTTAAGATAAGTTCCACGATTATATTGTACCCCATACCAGTTTTTTGTGCAGGGCGTATTAAGTTTGTGCCTATGTCTGATGGCGGCCCAGGTACTTTTTGTGTCCAACTTGTGGGCGGCCCAGATAGTTTTTGAAATATTTTGAAAGAAATTTGATGCGCGCAGGTATTTTTTTGGCCCAACGTTGAATCCTATTGAAAATGGATTGTATCGAATCATTTTTGGTTATCATCAGCCCTCATATAACGTCTTGTTTGGAAAAAATTGCTAATTTTCTAAATTTTTTTGAGCAAAACCCGTAAAGTAGTCTTTGGTACTTGAGAAGAACTTGTACTTGTAAAGAACTGAAACAAATATCGTATAAGAAGCCATGTCCATGTTAGCTATACCCAACATTAAGGAACGTCCGGTCACGCCATATCCAAATCATTTTCTAACAGTTACCTCTTGTAATGTCAGGTTATCGCTAATATACGAGTGCGATCGTCTCGAGTATCTGATAATATGCAAATTCATACTGCACTTAGAGCGAGGATTTTTTTATTCCATCGCTTTCTCGATTCCGGGATAAAATTTTATTTCTTGCATTTTCCAAAATCTAAAAGTTTGAAAGCCCAAACAAGCGGATAAACGATAGATTGAATTACTCAAGAATCTCGAGCTTTACACCTTAGCAGCGGCTGAGCTGGAAGCCATAAACTATATCAATTTGTAAAATTTGTACATATCGGACCCCGTGGTAAGGCCGGCTGTCATATAAATTGCAAATCAATTAACATGCCCATAATCCAAACGGAGCTTCGACCTTGGTGAATCTTTAAATGGCATTCCGTCCAGAGTGGTTAAAGACCTTCTCGGCAATGAAAAACATTTTTTGACATGCCCCCATAATCCAAAGGGAGCTTCGACCTTGGTGAATCTTTAAATGGCATTCCGTCCAGAAAGTGCGTTTCGGAAATGAAAAACACATTTTTTGGTAAAATTAAACTTCGGTCCTTAGGTCTTACTGATTGATGTGTTCATATAAATTTCATTTTATGATCCTCCCCTTCCATATGTTTAAGCATAGAACGTAAACGGCAAACATTACGGGGAAAAGTGTCTCGGCGGATGCATGCTTAGATGGAAAGTTTCTAGATTCCGTATAAGATTTACAAAGTACTTATTAAATCTAAATTATCCGAGATCAAAGTAGAACGAATGTTCAACATTCGTATATAACTTAGTGTTTAGTTACACTTATTCGTTTTCCTATTTTAATATTCTTTCACTTTATCATAGTTTTCGTAATTTATATATGTGGCAAGCATTTGCGTCTATGCAATATATAATGGAGGAGCCAGTAAGTCGTAATCCCGCTGGCATTAAATCACATTACATTTATATATATATTTGGTTGTATGTGCGCGCGCTTAGACTTTTTCTTTTTAATTAATATTTGATACAATTTACCGATAGATAAATAGATGGTAGTTTTCATTATAAAAATTATCTAAATTTATTGTTACGTATCGTCGTACGCTCAGCTTAAACATCATATTTATTAGTTTTTATTTTCTTCATATTCATCGTCGGTCGGTATATTATTAACGGATGACTAAAAATGTTTCGCATGTATTTCTTGTGGATATATCTCGTGTAAGGAGTGGAGTAGAGTGGAGTGGAGTGGAGTGGAGTGGAGTGGAGCGGATCTATTTTCTATGTGCGCATTAATGTGTTTTGCGTAAATGCATTATCGTTTATGGAGGAGACTTGTGTTCAACGGACTTGATCAACTTATTTTTTTTTGCTGCTTATAATGAACTAAAAATGTCTAAATTTTATAAGCTTTAAAATTTTCTTTTATAATAAATTTGGCTAATTTTCTATTATTAATAATGACCGGAAGATATGCATGCGGTCTCACCATCCAAACGGACTGCCAGGCAAAATCAGTTATATTTACATAAATCAGAAAAAAAAAAAGAAAAGGAAAACAACTCATCGCACGCTATACAACTATAACGTTCAGTGAGAGTTTACCGAACGAACAAATATATATGTATGCATAGCTATAAACAAAAAAAAAATAAATAAAATTATGATATATATTTGTATCTGTAAAGCCTTAACAATATCGTATCATGCACATGATTAATTATTTTAATACATTTTTAATAGTTTCCTTTCATTGTTGTTGTTATATTATATATATATATATATTTATATATATATATATATTTTTTTTCATCATTTTTCTTTTATTATTATTATTTTATGATGATTGTGGTTCAATTTCCAAACTTAATACTTTCTCCCTTCTCTTATATATATATATATATATAATGTGTGTGAGTGTGTGCATATAGATGCCAATCTGAACTGAAAGCAAAGAACAATATTACGATTTGGACAGCATGAAAAAAATACTATATTAATTATGAAACTCACTGATGACAGCGTACAGTTAACGTACATCAGATATATATATATATATATATATATATAGACATCAGCGAACAGCAGGATTGTTGATAGGCACAATTACTACTTTGTAATATTTACTTTAAGTAAGTGAAATCATTATTAAACGACTCTATGATATATGTTTAATCTTCCAACATATAAGGTATAGCGAATGGCATACATTTTAAGTAGGTTGGTCAATGTGTGTGACTTCATTTCTAATCAAATGAATTAATTAAATTGTAGTATGAAAAAAAAAAAAGAAAAAAGAAGCTAACGACGAAAATGCCAGAAAGCAAAATAAAGGAAAGATTTTGACAATACCAGTTGACACGAAAAAGTTTCCACATTGACGCTACTACGTCAATAAGATGAAAAACTCTCTCTAGATATTTCCATTTTTTTTTTTTTTTTTTCTTTTTTTTTTGAGACAATTTTGCATTACACATAAGAAGAAAGCTAAGGAATTTTTCATATCCAACATTGAAGACTGTCACCCCTTTGAGTAAAGACTTACCTCCCGCACGAATGTTTGTGTTCGAGAGTTTCAAAAATTGATATACCTGCTCGAACTTCAGCACAGTTAATTTTTATATCAAATTAATATTACGGGCCAACTTCTATCATAGCAACTTAAGTCATAAACTTTTCTCCCCTAAAAAACCGAAATATTCGTGAAAATCCCTACATGGGATTAAGATCTAAATATAAGCGTGAATGATCCAAGTTTTCTAGAATTAAATTTTAATGAGTTAATTTTCATCATGACATATTAAAATGTAGACTCCTCTGCCCTATAAAGGATCGAATTTCGTAAAAGTCCTTATATAGAATACGATCCAAAAAATCGGTTGAAATCGGTTGAAATCGGTGCAAATTTTCTTTTTCATCTTAAATTACTATTATGATCTGATTTTCATCATGAAGCATTGAAAATTGTTTGTGTGATATGAACTTGTCAGTTTTCGTTTTATGACAGGGGTTTCAAAAAATTGCCCCAGTCGGTCCAAAGTGTTGCCACCAATATAGTATGCCGAAATGCGATTACTTAATCAATTTTTGTCGAAAAATTTTGAAGGTTGCAAGTTTTTCCCTACACAACGGTCGAAAAAGTGAAAAAGTTCCCAACCATTTTCAATAGCGTTTGTCCTTGGGTCAGAGACAATGTCAGTGTACCGAATTTCATCAAGATATGTCAAAAATTTCAACCTCCTAACTTGAACACAAATTTACGTGGACAGACGGACGGACAATTAGAGCTAGATAGGTCAATTCAAAATCATTTCCTCCCCGTTCGTTCAGAAAATGATTCTGAATCGATCGCCGCTTTAATAAAAGACGGATATATCTTGTCTCCTCTGCCTGCCCATGCTACGTATCAAAAAATAGTGTAGGGTATAAAAACAAACCAATTCATCCGAAATGAAATAGATGTCCATTCTCTTTTGCTTTTTTTGTTTAAATACTTTTTTTCTTTAAAGAGATTTCTTTATATTTGCTGACTAAGAAGCAATTTCAAGTAAAGTTAAACTAATGTGTGTTTATACAATTCAACAAATTTTCTCAAGAAATGTGTACACAAGCATGATGTCATCTTTAGCAAAAATTATTTATATGCATAACAAAAACTTCATACATAAATTATTTTAGGTGTTTGCCACATACACATTATTACTTGCGCCGAATTGAAATAAATTGAAATTTTTCTTTACATATTACAAAAAGTAATTTTTTCTTTTGCGATTTGCGATTTTTTCCATTCGTTAGGAGAAGGAAGTTGAAACTTTAAAGACAACTGCCATCGATGTAGAATATCAATCTCAAATGGATGCTGATATCGTTGAGCAACAATTCGAAGAAAAATTGTTGTCATATGAGAATGAACCGTTAGACGAAATTAGAGGAGAATACGATCAAGAAGCTGCTACTACTGCTATCAATAAAATGGAATCCTCATATAATGAGAAGCCGTTGCAAGCCATGACCCCAAGTCCCCAATTGAGTTTTAGCAATGAGCAGCGAGCAGCAAGTGAAGAAGTCATGGAAGTCATATCTAATTTAGATAATCAATTAATTTCGGTAGAAGAACGCATTTGCGAACTGGCGGATAATGTCGATATTGAGTTGGCTCGCGAGGCACCAGAATGTGATGCAACTGATAAGATAAATCATTTTTCGAATGAAAAATCTTTTGAAGAACCACTGTTGGAACCAGAAATTCATAAACCCGAAATGTTAATCAATAATTTCGTGGAAAATGATAAATCGGTTGAGTTATTACAAGACGATTCTAACGTATTGACAGACCTTATAACGAAAGAACCGGTCTTAGAAGAGCAGCGCGTCGTGGTGGAAGAGCCTATAGTACCAGAGAGCAAATTAGAAGAACAAATTTCGGCCAAACAACCTATAGAGGATGCAAGTGATCTAGCTACTACCGTAGCTCCTATCGCTGTCGCAGCAGCAGCAGCAGCAGCAGCAGCAGCAGCAGTGGCCGCTTCTAAAAAAGTTCCCGCTAATAAAACGCAAGCAATTAAAAAATCGACTGGAAAGGGGCAAACCATCACGACTGCTCCAGCCAAATTGAAAGTTGCCTCTACCGTGGCCACTAAGAAGCCGGACGCTGTTAAGCAACCAATAACTGCAAGTAAAACAACAACATCGGCTGTGAGCGCCAAGGCAAAACCAATAGCCGCAGCAACCCGTAAACCAGCTGCAAGCGGTGTAACAACAACAAATGAAGTAAAATTAGCCACAAAATCTCTGGCAGCAAGTGGTGCTACTACTGCTCGCCCACTTTCGAAGACAACGAACGCTGCTCCAGCTCGTAAATTGCCTGCGGTAGGCGGCAGTAGTGTAGCGACGTTGAAACCACGTCCGGCCTCAGCGCCCGCAAAACCAACGTTGGGTTTGCCAGCGATTAAAACCAAAGCGCCTTCTCCACGTTCGCAAATTCGGAAGACAACGTCGACTATCGCGCCGTCGACGGTAGGCAAAAGTGCTGCGAAATTATCAACTACAACAGTTACAAGCAATTCTGGTGGCAATCTTAAAACGACAACTACCGTAACAACTACGCGAACAAAATCCACCGGTACAAGTGGTGGTTCATCAACTGGTTCTCCTACCGGTAAAACTTTCACTGCGCGTCCAGCGCCGAAATTCACCAATACGGTAACAACAACCACAACAACAAGTACCAAACGTCACGCACTGACTAACAGCACAGCCGCCGCAACTGGTAATAACTTAACTGCTAAGACTAGCACAGCACCTATACGTAAGCCTTCGCCTGCAAAATCGACTTCACAAACTACCACTAAGACTCCAACTAAGACTTCGGGAGCAGTTGGCGTAGGACAAAAAGCCAAGACTGCTTCCAATAAAATAACACCTAATAAGACTGTTAATAACAACACTACTCCTAAACCAATAAGGAAACCACAAGGGGCATCTAAGGCTGATGACAATCAAGCGATACAAATTCAAGATAAATTGTTAATAAATGGTGCTGATGATGAGAAGCATACTCCTCTACCAAATGGCGACGACAAGGAACTAACTAATGCCGCACAATCTGCAATGAATAGCGGTGATGGTTTCATCAATTTAAAACCAGAATCATCGACTCCAGTGGATGCTTAATTGCATTGATTATCCATTATTTTTATGATAGTGGGATGGGTTATAAACAAACTCCTACATTTTTTCACTTTATAAATTAAGAAAAATCGAAAGCAGCAGTAATTCGTAAACGAACAGAGAAGAGATTTTTTGGTTAATTTTTTTGTTTTTTTTTTTGTTTTTTTTTTGTTTATTTTGTTTTTTAATTTTTTTTTTTTTTTTTGTTTTATTACTACACGCCAACGGATGATAAAAGTAATTTGAAGACTAAAATTTTTAAAATGCATACATTTGCATGCGTACATATATACAGAAGCAATTTATGAAACTATTTTTTTAAAAGCGTCTTTTATATAGAAAGTTATTATATTAACGAATCTCTCTATCTCTGAATATGAAAAAGTAAAAAAAAAAAAAAACAAATAAATAAAAATAAAAAAAAAAAATGAAAAAAAAAAGAATATTTTATCCGATTTTTTTTTTTTTTTTTTTTTTTTTTCAAATTGAAATAGTTTGTAGTATTACTTAATCACATTTAAAAACAAACTCTAATCATGATTTGTGCTAATTTCTACAAATGGGAAATTAATAGCAAACAATTCCTATGAAAAGAAAAAAAGAAAAAAAAAAAAAAACAATACGATCACGAAAAAAAACAACAAGCGTAACTAACAATTAACATTACATTCTCCAGTTCGCCTTTTGTCCACATCTTCGCCAAGCCCCACTCCCCCCACGATTCTCTTGGAAACACTGTAGACGCACTGTACCAGCACTAATGCAAAATTTCCCAATAAATATTATTTTCTTACATACTCTTTCACCTTTCATATAACTAACTCTTCGGTCACTCACTTTGGTCTCATTTTAATGCAAAATACATGCTTGCTATACTTAAGAAATATAAGCATTATATTATAACTTATAAAGCGAAAACAACAACAACAACACCACAATTATCATTACTACTACTATAAAAAAGAAAAAAAAAAAAAAAAAAAAAACAAGCAATTAACACTACTTACGGATAATATATCATATGAGAATGAAAAGGATTTACATACATAAAACGAGGAAAAATAAGTAAAACATTTAACACGAATTTTATTTCTTCTTTATTTTTCGTTTTTTTTTTTTTTTTTATATATATATATATATTTTTTTTTTTTGCGCACATTTATCGAAACCACAAATACACCCATATTAATGCTTGTACTAATAAAATATTTATGTGTTAACTATCGAATCGAATAATCATGTTTTATGTTTTTAATTTATTTTCTCCTTTGTTTTGTGTTTAATATTATGCATGTCGTCTTTCTCATCAATTACCTTTCAATTCTCTCTATTTTTTCCTAAAAAAATATTCTGAAAAAGTAATTTCAAGGATTTTGTTTAATGTTTTTTTTTTTTTTTTTTTTTTATATATTTTTTGTTTGCTTTTTTTTTTTTTTTTATTTTAATTTATACATTTTTATATACAAAAGAAAAGAAAAAAAAATATATACAAAGTTTACTCATATCTTTTGTCTTCTTCTTTTTTTTTTTTTACTGTATCCAAGTATTTATCAAATATATATATAAAACATTTTAATTAAAAAACAAGAAAAAGTAAAATCAAGTTTTAGTTGTTTTACTTAATAGTTTAGTCTTTTTTTGCTTTTTTTGAAATTTTTTTTTTTTTTTTGTTTTTAATTCATTTTGTTGTTTCTTTTCTTTTATCATTTCTTTCCATTCATTAGGATTTCCAGTCAATCTAGAAGGACTTTTTTCATATTAAATGTAAGTCAGCAAAAAAAAGCTGAAAAGCTTATTAAAAATACTTGATAAGATTTTTTGTTTATCTGTAGTGTTGTTCATATATAGAATTGAAAATCAAGTTGTCTTTCATTCATATTCAGTTTGAATTTTAAAATAAAATTTCTTTCATAAATTTTTTAATTATTATTTTGTTTTATTATTTATTTATTGCTTTTGATAAAACCTAAACGAATTTATATATATATATATATATATATATATATATATATATGTATAGTTTTCTGACTTAATTATACCTATTTTGTGCATTATTTATGCTTGTGACACAACCAAGGAATACTATTTCCTTTCCCTTTGCCTTTCCGTGGTGCCCATCGCTTTGATTTGCCTTAAAATAATTTTTTAAATTAAATTTTACTCTAAAATGAAAATAAAATTGAAAATACAATAAATTTACATAAAAATTTAAATAATTTATATAAAATAATAAAGAAAACAAAAAGGAAAAAACTTATTTAATTAAATACTTTGCCTACCACAGTGGCATATTTAATAATAATATTAAAAGAAACGCCAAGAACAAGAACAACAACAAGCTGTTCTCTGCAAGACTGTTTCTTCGTACCATATTCATATCAAACGAATTTCATAAGTAAACGTTAAAGGGCGAATTTGTAGCCTAAGTGAACGTATCTTTCCCGAAAAAAAATTAAATAAATTAAATAAAAAAACAAAAAGTCTTACTCGGCAAACTCCAAAATTGTTGCCGTTTTGAAATTTGTCTCTTGTGGAGAAAAAATAAATAAATAAATAAAAAATAAATAAAAAAGAACGAAAAGGAGGAGTCTCTCTCTATTACTATTTACTCACCATTGGATGTTATTCGTAGTTTATTAGAACTTTCTAAAAAAAAAAAAAAAAAAAATATGAAAAAAAAAAAATTCTATCATTTACTACACATTATGGACTTTGCCAAAACCGAATTAAAATGATTCTAGAAAAACGTTTATTGAAAACTAATCAAGACACAGACTTCCATATAATGGCATTTTTTTTTTTTTTTTTTTTTATAAAAATTTTTTAAAAAAAAAAAAGGCCGAAAAAAAAGAAGGAAAAAAAATTTTGAAGATTTTACTCTTAAGGAAAAATATCAGAAAAAAAGTAAATTTTATAAAAAACAAAAAAAAAAAAAAGAAAACCTTTAGCATTGTAGTAAATAAGATCTCACATCCGCATCGTGCACTTCCCTTCTACACCAATAGCAAAGAAAAAAATTTATATATACGAAAAAGAAAAGAAACTGAATAAAGGAAAAAGAATAGCAAAAAATCGTATGTCCTTTCCGATAACATGAACTATTGTCAAAATGAAGTCACATTTTTTTTTGCGTAGAGTAAATATTCATTTAAATATATAATAAAATAAAATATAAATGTTATAAAAAAAAAAAACAAAATAATTATGGATATCTCGTTAATCGCTTCATTTTGTTCTATAAAATTACATGCGTTACTCTCTCTCGTCGGCTTTTTATTAGTCTCAACAGATAGACAGGAGTTATATACGTAAAGTCATTACCTTCATGACGTGATTATGTTACCTCAATAGCTATTGAGGATATTGAGAAAAGTTTCTTCGTCTCAAGCGAGGTAAAGCATACAGAAATGGATTCTCAGTCTTGGGGCGCCGCATATCGTACCCACCACTGTAGTAACGGGGCGGACTCGTTTTGTGTTTTTTCATAAGAGAGCCTTGATCAGCTTGACATTCTGAATTGATTGATTAAGGCACGCCTGCCCGTCTGTGCATCTTCAGATTGGTATTGAAAATGGTTCAAATTGGTCAGATCCGAAGAACGCAACTCGGTTTTTGTTAACAAAAATTTTTGGATTTTGGCTCATTACTCTCTGAGATTAGAAAAGTTCGAAGAATGAAAATTTTCCACATTTAATTTAAGAAACACTCTATTATTTTCGTGTAAAAATGGTAAAAACCGGCCATTGGCAACCTCAGTCAATGCAACCTGCCGACTTTCTGTCTGTCAAGAGAATAAACATAAAACCTTAGCTATATATAGCACTCTTGGAAGACAAGGCCGAAGAGCTGCTATACGCAGTAAAAAACCATAGCGAGGACTCGAAAGCAACCTCAATACGGAAAACAGTTTCCAAATATGGTAATTAGCTGGTAAGAATATGACGGAATCATTGCGCGCAGCAATTAAGTATTTACTATCTTTTCAGGTCAACATTCTTTTATGGCACTGGGCGATTCCCTCCACATTTATATTTTGGGTCAATTTTGAAGACTTTATAAAAGAAGCGGATTTTTTGTGGCTGTCATTTGAACAGGTATAGAAGAAATTGAGGCATAAAATTTTTCTGCCAAAGAAAGTCAAGTGTCATAAGTAAAATAATAATAAAATTCCTCTAAATATCTTAAAATCGCTCTTAGCTTAGGCTGAATAATTTTATAACTGCCAGGTGCTTCCACGATTTGAAGTCAAAGTGTATGGTATTTGTAACCTAATGTATAATCGAAACCTTTTGATAAAAACCATATATATATGTATATATATATATATATCTATATATATATACCTATATATATATCGGAGTTTTGAGAGTGAAGTTTTATATGCTACGTTAAGATGATGATGATGATGATAGGTAACTTACTTAGGTAGCTACACCGCAGTACTTTCCATTTCTAGGAAAAGCTTTTGATAATACATATACACACATATATATATATATGTTGAGGACTTACAGCCCAAAAATAACCTAAATGACTTTTTTGCTCAAATTCATTAAATTCCTTTCAGCACTTGTAACGACGAGGCAATAAAGTACAAAGTGATCAGACCATTGTCAACTAGCGGATCTCTGTTCCGATTACAAATTAAACTTAACTTTAACTCATTAAGAATAATTCTAAAAATACGATATAAATAAATTATGATTTTGTATTTGCACTGTCCAGCATAAAATACTTTGGCCAGATGTGTCACAAAAAAATGCAATGCGAGCAGAAAGTGCAAGTGCTTCAAATGTCTTCAATTTTGTGAGTAAAAAAAAAAGATTTATTCAGTAAGGTCAGTACCTTGCGAATTACATAATAGAAAATAAAAATGCAAACATACACACAAAATTGAAAACAAACCTACATACATTAATTTGCATTCAAATTAAAAAAAAATATTGAATTAAATATTGAGTTAATTAATAATAAATAAATATTATATATTAGATATACATATATATATATAAGACCGAGAAAATTATTCAACTTTGGATTTGTATTCGATTTTATTATTTGACTTTTGCTCTCTTTCGGATGAGAGTACAATAATTTTTTGAAATTTTTTAGTTGATCGCTTGATCGACTTTCAGATAAAGTTTCGTTTGAGACATATTGTGCTCTCCCGATCGATTGCGTGATCTATAGACATGCAAAAAAAAAATCGGGTTTCATTCCATACTCTTGCGTTTTGAAAACATTACCTGAATTTATTTACATTCCTTTTGTAAAATGAAGCCCGCCTGCTTAAAACTTAATAAAGACTTTATAAATAACTTTGGTCATTGCACTAAAGAATCTAGGAAAGAAACGCTTGGAACGTTATTTTTAAAATTGAAACAATTTCTATATAAAACTAGTTTTAGTTTTTTTTTTGCACTTTCCAAAGTCGAAACGTTCGAACGCAAAAACCATTGGACGAACCATAGCGCTGGCTGTGCTAGAAGCCATAAGTTATATTAATTTTTAAATTTGCAGATATCGGGAAGATGGTAAAATCAGCCGTTATTCCAAATCAACTAATGTGCCCATAATCCAAAAGGAGCTTCGAGCTTTTCATTTTAGATATTGTAATAGTGATAGACACTGAAAAAACACTTTTCGGTCTCTAATACGGATATCAATTTTTAAGAATTAATAAACTTGCTAACATTCGTCGTATCCATTGCATCGAAATAATTTATTGAACCTGTGTCTACAATCTTCAAATGGCGTTCCGTAAATAGGGTTTAAAGACCTTCTCGAAGATATGCACTTTTTCGTACACTTTAACTTCGATCCTTGGGTCTTGCTGTAGTGTAGCATATTTCATTTTATGGTCCTTCTGTTCTTCATTGTTTTTAAGCGTAAGGATGTAAGAATGTGTTGGAAGAACCAGCTTGACAAACCTGATGAGAATGTTGTCACGATCAGCATAATTAGATTTAATGCTATGTACGGCTCGATATACCTTCTTTTCGTATCAAGTGTCCTTTATATAACACATATATATACAAAATTTAAATGATATAATAAGCTCGATATTTTCGAATTCTAACTATCTACTGTGTGAATTCTTTGACAAAACGGTAAAATACCCAACGCCTTTGAAGAATTTTTGGGAAAAATAGTAACACATCCTTATAAATTCTTTAATTTAGAAATCAAACTAAATTTTGCAAAGGAATTTTAAAATTAAAAAATAAACTGCCGAGATATGTTGTTATTGAAAATAGTTTTATTACATTTAAGATTATAAAAGTTGGATTATCTCTGGCCTATTTCTCGCTTTTGATACGTTTCGGAGCTCCGTTACTCGATGGAAAATGGGATGTAAATGGCCGCTTACCATGCCTCAATTCTTTATTTTTCAAAAATACTTTTTTCTCTGTATATGGTTGCAAATAGATTTCTCGGTTTTTCAGCATGGTGTCATGAAGTAAAAACGATTTACAAAATGCATCTGCAGTTTTAAAATTTACAATGGCTTCACCAGTTTTCAACTGAACGCCACTTACTTCGCCACATTGTGAGAACAATTTATATAGATCCGGAACAGTGACATCTGAAATACAATCAACATGTTAAAAATGTGCTAAAAATTTGTTAATTGCAATAACGCATTTTACCTCTATTCAGATGTTGTACAAGCACTGAATATGATTTTTTGGGTTTTAGATCTGGATCCGGGCGATGCAATTCTAATTTTTTATATTTTTCAATTTGTAATTTAAGACCTTCCACGGTTTTACTGTTTAATTCCAAAGCATTGTCTACCGATTCCTCATCTATGAATGTAATAAACGCCAAAATGTTTTTTCCGCACACTACACGCATTTTATCAATTGTACCACATTTACTGAATATTGCCTCAAGTTTAGCCGGATCTACAGACTCCAAATGCTCGCGGTTTATAATGCTTATAGAACGCGTAGCATTTTGTTCGATGTCATTCAATGACCGTTTGTTTATAGTTCTTTTTTTACAAAGTTCAATTTTCAATTGAAGACCTTCCTCTGTTTTACCATTTAATCTCAAGGCATTTTCTATCCCTTCTTCATTTTCAAAGGTAATAAACGCCAGTATATTTGGCATGCACAATACATGTATTTCATCAATTGAACCACATTTAGCGAATATTCTCTCAAGTGTGGCAATGTCTAGCGTCGTTAACTTCCTGCAATTTATTATGGATATGCTATTTTTAGGATTGAAAACATATTTTGTCTTTTCTGGCTTGATAGTTATAGTTTGGCCGTTTAGAATCGATTTGTCTAACTTCAAAGCTCTAGATGCGGAGAATGGACTCCTGAAGAAAATGTGAGCACATGATATATTTTCGCTTTTAATCAATTTAATACTTCCAATTTTTCCACAATTGGCAAAATGTTCTTTAAGATCATTTTGATTCGTATAAGTTTGTATTCCTTCAACAATTATATGCGAAATATTTTTTCGCAATTCCGAAGGCTCTTCTTCCTCCTCCTCCTTTTTGATCGAAATAGCTGAATTCCTAATGTTAATAGTTTTGTCAGCATGGCACCTAGCACCCTCAGGTTCAGACTCTTCTTCCACTTTATATTCTTCCATAACTAGACAAATTTGAAATAAAATATTTTGCATATAAATTAAAACGTATAATAGTTAAAATTGTTTTCACTACTTACATCCAGGCAACTTTTCTAAGGAATAAGGCTGTGGTGTTTTATGGCATCCTTTTTCTATAGGAATTTCGATGGGAGCTTCGTTGTTATCGTTTTCCTGATCATCGTCGTCTTCTTCATCATCATCATCATCATTTTCATCGGATTCTTCTTCGACATATTTCCCATTTCCAACGTCATCGTCGCTTCCTATTTCTTGGTCATCTAAAGATAATTAATTAACGGCACATGAATATTTTGAACTTTCTCATCTCATAATACCATCATTACTGTCGTCATCTTCACTCTCTAGACGATTAGTCGCTTCTATTACCACGCTGTCGTCCTCGGACACATTATCTTCATCTTCTTTGTCCTCTGCGGCGTCAGAATCGCTTGCTTCGACTCGTTCATTCTTCTTTATCTCTTTTTTGACAACTTTTCCAATCATTTTCTTAGTTACTGGCGCTACTTTCATATTTTTGTCTTCAGAAATAGGACCACTCTCTTCTTTCTTCTGGTTAATAGCTTTTCCAACTACTTTCTTAGCTGGTCTCTTAGTTTGCATAACTGCACCTACGGTCACATTCTCATCTTCAGAATCGTTGGCTTCACCCTTGTGCCTAATTATTTTTTTAACTACTTCCTTTTTTGTCTGCTTAAAAGGCGTTTTAGCTTTGGGATTTATTTTAATCTGCTTTTGTTTCATTTTATTGAATTTGTAATACGTCAAAAAAGCACAATAGTTAAAAAATCTGGAAGCTCTTGAGTTCTCTTTGACGATATAAAATGTACTGTCGTGATATGGTACAAAAACAAAAAAAGAAAATGCACGTGTTCTGTCAGGAAACAAACTGCTATATATCGATAAACGATAAAATTGCTATGAATTAGAAAAGGATTGAAATATAAATGGCAATAATGATAATAATAATAGTTATAACGATCGTAACGAGAATACCAAAAAAACTGTATAGAGAGCAATTAATTGTCCTCTTTATATACATTATATATACATAAATTAATTTAATATAAAATATATATTATTTTATTTTAGTAAAAGTTGGTTTCATCATATGATCAACGTTCCGCATATGTACAAAGAATTTTGTTTGCTTCCAATCTTAACAATTTGAACTTGGCAATACTGTACTGCTTTTGTCAAAAACGATGACGTCACAGTATACACAAAAAATTCTTTATCGCCTAAAAATGACATTTCGAGTGCCATTCATTTGATGGAAAACGAAGAATACGCAGTTTTGTCATTAATTGTTAATAAGTTTACGTTTTGTTTTATATAAACAAAAAAAAAAAACTAAAGAATATTGTTTCTGAAAAGTAAATAAATGACTCTCGCGGCATAAGAGCAAGTGCAAAAAGTAAAGAAATACGATTTAAAAGCAAGATTAACAACGCGTTCGTATTGCTGGTATTTGACTTTGCGGCAGAAAATTTAAGAAAGAGGGAGAGGAGTAAAATAAGAGGAATCATACAATTGATTGCCCACCAGCGTAGCAATAGCTGTGCAATAGGTTCTACGCCTTAAACAAAGATAACGTTATGAATGCATTAAACGCTACCAATAACGCTACGGGTAATAATGGCCATAGTAGCAGTAGCACCGGTATACGCCCAAATTCAGGTAATGACGAAGCCGGCGGTGGAGGTGGTGGGAGTAGCTTGCTTGGAGCTGAAGCGGATGCGAGCTCGAGGCGGCAGGCTACGCGTGTATTTAAGAAGAGTTCATCTAATGGTAAAATAACTGTATATCTAGGGAAACGGGATTTTGTTGATCATATAAGCCACGTAGATCCTATCGACGGTGTTGTGTTTATTGATCCAGAATATGTAAAAGATCGGAAAGTGTTTGGTCAAGTCTTGGCTGCATTTCGTTACGGTCGCGAAGATCTGGATGTTTTAGGTTTGACATTTCGCAAGGATTTATATTTGGCCAACGAACAAATTTATCCGCCATCGCATACAAATGAAAGGACACTAACACGCCTACAAGAGCGTCTTATTAAAAAGTTAGGGGCGAATGCATATCCATTTTATTTTGAAGTTCCTCCCTATTGTCCGGCATCCGTATCATTGCAGCCAGCACCCGGTGATACCGGAAAATCTTGCGGTGTTGACTATGAATTAAAAGCATTTGTAGGTGAGTATATATATATATATATATATATATGTGTATGTATTTTAGCTGATGCGTGCGTGCGTAAGCGTATGCGTGTCATTTGACTTTCTCTTCTCTTAGTCAATTTTCTATATCTGTATTTATCATTAAAGATCATGCGGCAAATAATGTTATCGAAAAATGTGTCATAAGCATCATCCATAACGATATTAAATTGATATTTTCAATAAAGCTAAAAGTCAATTGCAAGGTGACGAAGTTGCTGCCAATGATGAAAGGGGGGTCGATTTTTACAAATTAATCAGATCAATTTGTTGTATATATATATAAATACATGGAGAAATGTGTCATCATGTATGACATAATGACTGGTCCGATCCGCTAACAATTGCACTGGTGTGCTGTAACATTTTGGGTGTTACCCTCCATCGTTTATGTTAAATTCAGTAAATGTATTTATGTTTGTATTCATTATTAAGTGCGAGGCTTAATCATAATGCTGCTCTTTAAATTACCAGCGTAATTTCAACAACAACAACAACAACAATAACAGTAAAGGCAACAACAGCATTCGCTATTTGATTATTTATTTATTTTTAGTTTCAATATACAATTTTTTTTTTTTTTTCAATATTTTTAGCGTGTCATCAACTGCTAATTAGCGCGTAGCTCTAACTGAAAAAAAAAAAAAAACGGTAAAGGAAAACTAGTTTTTGTTTTCTTTTTTGTTATGTTACTACTACAAATGAGTATTAGAATCTCCCTATTTTGTAAATCACGTTTTTGTTTTTATTATTATTTGCTTTTTACATCAATCTCATCACAAGTTTCATTAGCATCAAATCGTAAATGTTAACAAATTGTTATTATTATTATTATTGTTGTTTTTGCTGTTATTGTTAATATTTGAAATATTTAGCACAGGGTTTGATTCTACGTCAGAGCGTACTTGTTGTGTGTAGTTACGAGAGTTGATTGTTAATGATCGTGGCTACATTTGTGTGTGTAGTGGTGAGATGCAAGCGCATGGCATCATGTATGTATGTATATTTATATATACACATGCATTTATTATAAATAAAAAAAATTAATTTTTCGTTAAATTGAACTACTATTGTAGTGATAATCGAAGGAAGATTATAAACGTATTTGGCATTCTAGTAAAGAGAGATTAATTTTCCGATATTCTCAAATTGCATATATATATTCTCTATCCGATTAGGATCGCAAACAGACTTAGTCATGGGTATTTGTGCTTACGTCTCTTTTTATGACCCACTACATCTTAACATGCATGCCTTTCGAACTGATCAAACATGAAAGTGGCTTTGATTCGTCCACAATGACTAAATAGACAAAAAGATGAAGAATAACAGAATTCGAAATAGTTGTCACATCTAGCGAATCAATTAGGAAATATTGATTTCCTGATCGCATTAAACATTTAAGAAAATTTGTGCCATATCTGCCTTAATTCGGACATTTTTGGTCATATTTTACACAAAAAAAATATTCTTTAAGGTTTGTTACCAGACCTTATCAATAAAATTGCGATTCTTTTATAATTGAATTTCGCTAAGACTTTTCTCGACATTTTCATTATCACATCCTCTCTCTCTCCCTCTCTCTCTTTTTCTCTGCTGCAGATATTGAAGATGAAAATGCATATTAAAATATTAAACCATGGAAAATTGAAAACTGCCCTTATTCAGCTCATAATAATAGGCTCCAAGGGTTCATATGCAATCCTTGCTTTTATGTAGACTTATTTTATTTAATCTTTGGTGGTTGTACGTATATGTAAAAAATCATATAATTTGAAATTCGCTTAATTTAACTAAATCTCAGCTTAGTATTTTTTAGACAAGTCAATGTATGTTTAAAGCCTTTTTCCAATGCGTATTCAAAATCTGTTTTATCTTGCAGATAATTGATTTTTTACTTCTGCGATTTTTGCTTCTCGCAAACACACATATATATACATTTATAAGAAATTTTCAATTATTTTAAAAATTGTTGTTTTCATTTAAGGTAAATTTTTGTTTATTTCGCAATTAGTTGCTTGTCTTATGTCTTTCGTTAAAATTTAAAAAAAAAAAAAAAAAAAAAAAAAAAAAAAA